TGGAGTTACTTTTCTCCTTCCAACACATGGGCTCCAGGGTCAAACTCTGTCATTAAGGTTTTTATCAGTCGTTTATGATTTCTGTTGTACAAGCTTTGAAGCTCCATTGTTAAAATTTTCAGCATCTTATTTATTCATTTACTTATCATCTATTTATTTTTTGGTGCAGTGTGTGTGTATGTGTGTGTGTAGATGTCAATTTTATTTGAGGTTGTTCTTTAATACATAGAAACACAGTCGATTTTTGTGCTTTGATCTTGTATTCTGAAACCTTGTTGGCCTCATTCATTTGCTCTAGTAATGTTTTAATGAGTTAATTAAGATTTTTCTAGATACAACACCATGACATCTACAAATGGGAATATTTTCATTTCCTATATGTCTGTATACCTGACTCACCCCTCCCTCCCTCCCTCCTCTCTCATTTCACCTCATCACCAAGACCAACTAGATGGAGCACGTTGTGAGGGAGATACACAGGAGAGTTGACTTTACTAACAGTCACAGTGCCACATTAAATAGAAGTGATGAGAACAGACATCCTGTCCCGTATGTCTGATGGTCCTGAGTGTGAGGCCAGTCTTACAGAAGCTGGCTTCCTATGACTGTCTTTACATGATAAGAGTCCAGGTGAGTGAGCAGAAGTTGCTGGGTCCAGACTAGGAATAAAAGCTCCTCTGTCCTGTCCATCAGGAGGTTTGGTGTTGTGACCAAAAGAAAAGACGTGTTGTCATTAATGCATCTGTGTATTCATGAGACATCTAGAAACCAAGGAGTCTGACTGACATTAACATGTAGGCATCTGTTATTTGCACATCAAATGAGATACTCATTTTCCATCCTGTCATTCCACATTTGGGGGCCCACTGTGTGTGGTAGGTACTGTGCTGGGGTCACCAAGATGAATTAGATGCAGCATCTCAATGGGTTTATGGAGACTTTACGGGGGGGGGGGGGGGGAACACAGGTATATAAGCTAAGTATTCTTTAACTCCTATTGAAGTAACCTGTAGGAAAGACACATATTTGGGGTTCACCCTTGGCATAGTCTCTGCAGCACAAAATAAAAATGTTTACAACTAGAGTCTTGAAAGTTCTTTTAGCCAGTCCTCTGTCTTTCAGAGAAGGACCCTCTTACCTTAGTCAACAGTTGCTGTTCTCTCTCCTGCTCACCAGGAGGGTGTGTGTGCGCTCCCCCCCCACCATTCTCTGCAGCCAGCAATCCATGCACAGCCCACTCCTGGCTCCATTTGTTGTGTCTGCTGTGGGTAACCTAACACCGCCCCTACGATCATCGTTAATATGATCGTAGCTCTAGGGTTGCTAGCCTGTGGAGAGTACGAGGCATTGTCCTTCCAGGAGATGCTATGACATGGAACTGACAAGGGGAGGGGGTGCTATCTGACTGCCAAGCTGAGCTACCCAGAAAGCTTCGGGGAGGCTCCTGTTCAGTTTAATTGCATGTTCAACTTTCATTGCAAAGAGGACGCTCCATCGCTTTTAAACTTGTCAATTCAGAGGATTAACTGGGATATATACAAAGTCATACCTGTGTGCTCACTGTTAAGTCATCTTTCCAGATGAGAATGAAAGTAGTATTAGCGGAAGCAATTAAATATTTAATTTTAAAATCTTTACAGCTTTTAATGCCTATTCGGAATTTTATGGTACACGTGTTTCCATTTTTACTTTTCTGTTTAAAAGAAATACTTTGCTCTAACTTTATTATATACTATTTATTATAGCAATGGAAACAGCATCACGTTTTTATTGCCCCACTGGTGCAATGGAATGGAAACCTTGTGGTCCTGGGCTGCAAAAGAAATGAACGAGCTCCACAAACCTTTCAGGTTTAATTAACTTTTAAACAAACCTGGAATTCTAGTTCTCCATTTTTCTTTTTATTGCAGCGTCTTTTTCCTTCTGGTTATGTGAGGGAGTGAGATAAGCCGGCCGAGTGGTCTCTGCTCACATTGTTTACTGCACAAGAAACAGCAGCAGGTTCAGTCAAAGGTGACCAGGAAAACCCCCGCTGCTTGTGCCCTGCACATGTTCAACTCCTGCAGTCAAGCACTGGCCCCTCTCCTTGCGGACTTCTGGTCTGAAATAAAATTAAGAAGTAGAGCGAACAGCACTTTAAACACCAGCCGCAAGGACTGTATGCTGTGTATGGACACCCTGAACAAATTGGAGAATGACAGGATTGTGGGCCGCCCTGAATTTGGTGCTGTTAGACATGTGGGAGAATAGAACAGGGGATGCAGAGGAGTCTAGAAAGTTCCAGGGCATGGCAGCCTCTGCTGGCCTGATCCTATTGGGGTCAATCTTACTGGGAGAGGTATAGCAGGTGGTTTTAGCAGAGCTGTTCTCTGTGTGCTTGTGTGGGAAAACGCCTCATAAGGCCCAGCAATGCTTGGTCACTGTTCCCCAATGTAGGCTCCAGCTCTCTTCTGGGATTTGCTTTTGGGAGAAGGCAGAGCAGGGTGTGGAGGACTGTTACTGGGCAGGAGGTTTTGCGATAGCAGATAATTTGAGTCTTGCTCTTAATTCTCTTGCCTTCTCTGTGTGACCTTGGGAAAATTACCTGGTCCCTTTGAACCACACTTGCCATATCTGCAAAAATTGGATTGAATGAGTGATTCCCAAACTGAACTCACGAGAGTGCATTGAGCCGTCTCAGAGATGAGCCTGTGCCCACCACTGGAGTTCCTGGGAATCACTTCCAAAAGGGAGCAGCCTCAGTTTCCTCTCTTTCATTTGTGCTCCTGCAAGGTTTGGTTTGAACGAAATGTTTGAATATCAGGGTGCCTGAAGCAGAGCTTTCTGGTCTCTCACAACCCAGTTGTCTGTGACAGATATCTTGTCAGCTGCATGGGGGTACGGGGGCATCCATGATACTGGGCCATCTGCATGGGGGTATGGGGGCATCCATGATACTGGGCCATCTGGCTTTCTCAGGTAGCACGGGCATGAGGATCTTAAGGGAAGGAAACACATGTGCAGCGAAGGGAAGCTGCCAGGTGGCGTGTGGGTTTGCACTACCTCAATTTCCGGCTAAGCGCCGCCCCCATGCTTACTTGGCAATCTTCCCCTTTGCTGTAAGATTGGAGGCACCCTGGGGAGAGGGACACAGGGTTTTGAAGGCAGCCTCGTTTTACACTCTCTGACCTCAGCAGCTCTTCATGGCAGCTGTCAGGCCCTAAGCCCTGACCCTTTAATGGCTGTCTCTGAGGTTAAGGCGGTGATTAGCACCTGTCAACTGCCCATGGGTTTCTGAGCCCGCCTCCCTGTGAGCTGCTTGCTGGCTCCTATTAAGTGGGGCTGTGCCTGTCTCTGTCAGGCCTTCCTCTGACTGCTCCTTACCCTGAGACTGTTTCCCCTAATAATGGGCCTTCCTCTGTCACAAGCTTCTTCCCTGTGCTTTGGGTGCAGAGCCTGGCTCGGCTGTGTGGCAGGGAGTGAATGCCGGGGCCATCCCGCTTTCCCTGCTGTTTTAAGAAAATGCAGAGTCCTTTTGCTCCTGTCTCCAGAAACCCTGGGGAACATAGTGGCCTTGGAATGAAGAGTTGGCAGGGGAAACTGTCATAAAAGAACCATTTAATTGAGGAGCGCTGCAGACCCAGGGGTGGTGAGCAGTTTAATTAACGTTTATTGGGAATGAAGAGCTGATGATTTAAAAGTGGAAATTCACTCTCATTTCTCTATCTCTCCATCGTGTTCTTGCCCCCTTTGCCTGATTCCTATTTCTGCCAGTTTTTATTGAGTGCCCTTGGCGAGAGCAAGCTTTCTGTTAACCACTGGCCCTGGGATGGGCAAGGATCCAGACCTATCACTAGGGGCTGGCAGTCGAGCTCAGGGGAGAGCTGAGTGGACAGGAGCAGAGGAGAGCTGGAGCCCTGCACCGAGATTCTGGAAGGATCCCCTACCAGGCCCATGTCCTATAGCGCTGATGGTCCTAGAATGGTAGCGAGGGAATCTGGGCAGGTGGCAATGAGCAAAGTTTGAGGGAGCCAGAGGGTTTGGAATGTTGTATGCTCAGATGCTTGGAATGAGGCTGGGGGACTGGAAAGGGAGGGGCAGGTGACAGGATGGAATGAATAGAGCCAGGCCATGCAGAGTCTTGAATATCATACTAATTACTGTGCTAATATGCTGGTTAATTTGGATTTTATCCCAAGGATGTGGAAATCCTCAGAAACAGTGCGAGCAGGGTGGCCTTTGAGGCTTCCTAGGCTGTTCAGCATGGACGTTACGATCAAGGGGAGTTTAGGTGACTGGTGTTTGAATCCTGCCCTGACAGCCTTCCACTTGTAGGCAGGCTATTCTGCTGGGTCTGTGAGGCCTGGTCTTTAAAACAGAGATAAAAATCCTATGGTCAGCCGGGCTGGTGGTGGCACACGCCTTTAATCCCAGCACTTGAGAGGCAGAGGCGGGCCATCTCGGTGAGTTCGAGGTCAGCCTGGCCTACAGAGTGAGTTCCAGGAAAGGTTCCAAAGCTACACAGAGAAACCCTGTCTTGAAAAACAAAAAACAACAACAACAACAACAAAAATCCCACTGTCATGAGGACTAACTAAGTGCACTCATCAAATGCTGTTACCCTCAAGGGCATATAACATATAACATATAGCATATAGCACAGCCCTCCATATAACATATAACATATAGTGCATCCCTCCACTAGGGAGAAGCTAGAACCAAGGGTCTTATAGTACTACCCTTTCTAGCAGTTAGTGGCTGAATCCATTTGGCAAAAGGCTTGGGAAGGAGCACTCGGGGTCACAGATGAGGGCCACCAGCAGAGCTCATGGGCTCCTGCATCTGCTGCTTTGTAAATTTTAGGAGGGAACTTCTCCAAAGGGCAAAGTCAGAGATTGTCTGGTGAGCCAGCACCCAGGGTCAGGTTTCCTTTGGGGGTTTTCTTTCTTTTATTTATTGAAAATAAATTTGTTCATACAATATATTCTGATCACGGTCTCCCCTCCCCCAACTCCTCCTAGATCTTCCTCACCTCCAGACACAACGGGACTGACACACAGGTGAACTCTCAGAGACTATGGCAGCAGCACACACAGGCTCTAGTCAGAAAGGGCCCCAGCGCTGAGGGGAGAAGGGGACATGAGCTCCCATCCCTAACCAAGAAGCTATCTCCAATTGACATCTGCTTGCAAAGGTAAAATCTGTTTTCTCCAATGGAGCTTCACTGGGTGTATTAGTCAAACTTACGGGAAATAAAGCCTCATGCCCCACAGTATAAGACCAACACAGAATGAATTCAACAGTATTTTTATAGACTTTTTTTTTGTTTCATATTGTTTTGTTTGGGCATTTTTTTTAGTTACTAGTCTTTTGCTTGCATATTATGTTTTCAGGCTTCATGTTTTTATGGGCTTTATGTGTGTTTCTTGTGCTTTTTCTTTTCATCCTGGCAGGCTTTTGTTTGTTTGTGTGGTTTTGCCTGTTGGTTCTCTAAAGAAAGAGAGAAAGGAATATGGAGTTGGGTGAGTTCATGCAGTTGCCTTAAGACTGAGCTTTGAGTCTTGCTGTACTGGTTCATTTTGATTATCTACCTCAGAGGATCCAGAATAACCTAGAAGACAAGTCCCTGAGTGTGCTTGCAAGGGATCCTCTAGATTTGGTAAACCCTGAGCAGGCCTCTGAGGGGTTGTCTTGGTGTCTCTAACTGACCAGGGAAGACACTGTGGCAGTGGGTGATCACCATTTCTTGGACTTTGGACCTGGACTGCTTTAAAAGGAAAAACCTCAGGCCGGGCGGTGGTGGCACATGCCTTTAATCCCAGCACTCTGGAGGCAGAGGCAGGCGGATCTCTGTGAGTTCGAGGCCAGGCTGGACCGACAGCCTCCAAAACAATACAAAGAAACCCTGTCTCGTAAAAACCAAAAAAAAAAAAAAAAAAAAAAAAAAAAAAAAGGAAAAACCTCACTGAATGTGAGCTTTCAGTGTTCTATGCTTTATAACCTCAGAGGAGACGTGGCCAGCTTTCTCAAATGCCGTTGCCAGGATTTCTCCGTCACAACGTCATACCCTTGAACTATCAACCAAAATAAAGTGTTTCTCCTGTGGGTTGCTTTTGACTCTATCACAGCATCGGAAGGAGTGACCCAGGTGTGTGCTAAGATGCCCTTTCCCATTTCTTAGTCTTCAGTAGTAAGTGCGTGTTTTTAAGGGAAATGTGCCAGTGCGACTGGTTCTAGATCCTATGGAATCGGCTAGGTGATGGGCTGCAGTCAAAGTGAGTGACCAGGGAGGGGTGTGTCTGCAGCAGCATCTGTAACTCTAGCAGGCATTTGGAATGTAGTAGCTTCCTGAGCATGACTGCAGTCCGCATGGACTGCTAGAGCAAGACTGTGATTACATTCAGTAATAAAGTGTGGGTTTGTATGTTGCTAAGGTTTGGGTGCGGTTTGTTCCCCAAAGGTTCATGCTGGAGGATTTGTCCCCTGTGTATTGAGGACAGGTGGCGTCTTTAAGAGTGAAACCCAGTGGAGGGTGAGTGGCATTGCCTTTGGAAAGGAAGACTGTAGGGCTGGGGCAGTTTACATAGAAGAGGACCATGCTATGCCTGGTTTCCTCTGCATGTGGACATTGCTTTTTTCATTTTGTTTCTTTTCTTTTATTTCTCTATTTCTTCCCTCCCTCTCTCCCAGTCCCTTCCTCCCTCCCTCCCTTCCTTTCTGTTTCTTTTTGTTTTTGTTTCTCTGCTATGCTGTTATATAGCCAGGAGTCCCTTTATAGATGCTGGTACTGCATACAGAATCGTAAGCAAAAATTAACCTATTGTTTGTGTTTCTCAGCTTCAAGTATTTTGTAACCGCAACACACGATGACCAAAATTATACATATTCTTTTAGATGCTTCTTTCCCAGGACAGTTGAAGGAACTGCATTGTTCTGAACTTTCAGCTCACTGGGAGCCTCCTGTAAAGTTGGTCTGACTCCTCAGTTCCCACCCCTAGGCAAATGCTGGGGTAGAGGACAGGGAGAAGCAGTCGGGTAACATTCACTGCTGCGTAACTCTGCTCAGCTCCCCTAGACTCCTCAGGGACTGGGAGTGGCGTGGACCAGTGATGGGAGGCAGCATGTAAGGCAATCTCACTCTTCTTCCCTGACTCCTTGTGTTGCTTAACTGATACATCCCTGCTCCAGGTAAAGGAGAGAAGCCCACAGACGGAAGATGCTCTGGGAGATTTGCTGTTCTATTTCACGGACTGAGATTTTAAGCAATTATACACCAGATTTCTTAAATCTTAGTCACTTATTAGACTAGAAGTTAAGCACTATCTCTAGATTATACTTAGTAATTAAGTATAATAACATATAAAACAACATTTTTTTTTCAAGGAAGAAAAGGGGATGCATTCTAGAATTTGCTAACAAGTGCAGCATGCATATGAGTACAAATGGGTGTTGTGGCTGGTTTGGGAGAAGTAAATGTAGCATTGATGAAACTTGTTTATTGGGGTAAGAAACCAAAGACATGGACCACAGCGCTGAGGCAACATTGAGTCCTTCCTCTCACAAAAGACAAGAAAATGAACTCACAAAGTTTAGTTTCTAGTACCATGCCAAGTATGCACTTCAGAAGTGATGACTTTTTTTTTTCTTTCTTAAAGTGGTTGCTTCTAAAAGGCACAATTCAAAATAGTTGCTGCAAGAATAGACATGCTGAAATCTTAATGGTGCAATGCTATTTTGTTGGGTAAAAAAACAGGGCTGGATAATGACGAATCATAGCTATGCAAATGAAAAGAAAGATCATCATGTCTTGTGCTTCGGGGTGTGAACTGATGGCAAGACTTGGACCATGTTTCTCAGTGGAGAGATGGATTTCAGATGGAAAGTTTCAGTGCTATGTGCACCTCCCTCCCTTAAGGTTCATTAGCAGTACATGAAATACTAAAATAATTGGTCTTCAGTCAGCCTTCCTGAGGGTCTGCCTCTACAAAGAGGCGGGCTGTGCGGCCGCATATCCTCCTAACTTCCTCTTCCTTCTCTTTCCTCTTCCCTCTCACCCGCTTTCTCTCCTCCCCATGCACACATCCTTTGCTTCTAAGAACTTATATTTTCTGCTGCATTTTTAATTAATTTAACTTTTACATTCCAATCCCAGTTAGAACTTATATTTTAATGGTAATAGAGAACTGAAAACAAGTACAAATCTATATAATGAATATTGTAGAGCTTATTTCTAATAAATTTCGAAGGAAAATCAATGGAAACGAAGGTTCTAAATCTTGACCGAATTAAACAATGGAGTCTTTTACGCTTCTGTTTTTGTTTATATTTTTTTTCCAAGCAAGGGGTGTTATTTCCAGTTGTTTCAGACTAAGAATAACATTACCACCCAAGAAGTAATAACCCAGCCCCATGAAATAAGCAGAAAATTCAAACAGTAGTCGGTGACTCAGCTACCAGGTACTTACCAACCCTGCAATTACATTCTCACAGCCCTCTGTAAGTGGGTGAACTGATTTCAGACCAGTATTATTATTTTGGTGACTGACTTCCTGCTAAAGTGGCTTGATGATAATTGGATTTGTTAATAATTTCTTTAAAAATATTGTACATATTTGTTTCAATATAGGTTTTTTAAACTTTATATTAACAAATGAAGTAATTTCCAAACTATTTTTAAGTTAATATACTAAAGCTTTCCAAATAAGATAATGAATAAAGGTTGCTTAGTAAATTATTTAATGAATGATTCAGACACAATAGCTTGTCAGCTTAGACCCTAACAATCATACTGTACCCAAATAAGTTCCAGAGAGTTGAACATTGCAGAGAAAATTGTGGGAGAATTAGCAGAATCTATGCAGGAGTGACTTTGTTCATGGGTTAAAGCCAAAGAAGGCATTAATGAGAAAAAGAGAATATTTGAATATTTCAAAGCTAAAACTCATACATGCGAAGAGGCAAGCAACTGGGGAAATTTACAGTGAGTTTGTAAAACACACACACACACACACACACACACACACACACACACCGTTTTGAAAAATGTATCTCCTACTGAAATGTGTAAGGAAAGGACTAGTGTCCTTAGAAGTTGGGTGTGAAATACAATAGCTACCTAGCGCACAGTTTTCTATGACTATATGGATTTACAGAAGCTGATTACACTGATTGTTTTTGTACTCAGAATGTGTTGTAACCAGATTTTCTCACAGACTGGCACAGCCTATGTCTCTAAGAATTCTACGGCACAGTTTTTCCATGCTTCCAAAGTTTTTATTGGTGAGAGAGTACAGCCCTATGTTGGTGGAGTTTTAAACCTTAAACTAAGTTTTCAATGTTGCATGCCAGGGTTAGAGAAATCAAAGAGATGTTTTCTAGTACCTCATCTGCTTTTATAGCCAGAGCCTATCATTAGAACTATGGTTATGGACAGATGTTTAACAAAACTGAGTGATTTACCAAGAAGCCTGGCAGTTGCTTTTATCCACTGTTCTAGAAGAGGCATTTGCCACTGGAACCTATCTTAGCAAAAAGGAAATATCATTTGAGGTCCCACGCCTTTCACAATGTGCCATCGTTATCTTTAGAGGCCTTAGTAAAAGAAACACATTAATTACCATCCTGAAGCATCTCTGGGCTAGCGTGACTTTAATATTATGCTAGGGCTCTTTGTCAAGCATGCCAGTCCCTTATCTTGTTTTTATAGCAGAGGAAATAAAGGCACTGGAGACCTATCTCTGAGGTCACACAACAAGTTAACAGCAGGTAAACATTAGAACCAGCAGCTCCAGAATTCCCACTGGGTGTAATTAGTTCACCACAGGCAGGAAATGGCAGCACTGAGAATAAATGACAGGTGTGGTGTTTGGGGACCTGGTGGCTGGTGGGAATTCTCTGTACTCTTCTGAATGGTTAATTAACTTAGTGTCTCTTTGAAGGTCTCCCTGTATAGAATGTGGAGGCCTCTCAGCCCTGTACTTCTTCTATAGGCTAAATGAACACTGTGTTTGCCCCAAGGTTTTTGGAGGGCTTGCTGGGTGATGATACTTACTGGGTGTGAGTCCTGAGTAAGTTTTAAAAGCCTTTCAGTCACTTTCGGAAGCTTTATGGAGTTTCTGTTGTTTCATCTCGAAGGATCTCAGTGTGCCTCGGAAGGATAAGGTTGGGAGTGGAGGGCAGGGGCTTCTGCTTTTG